CAGAGGACAGAGGGCCAGGGCTGATGAGTGCTCCCAAGGCTAACCAGTGGACACTTCATCAGACCTCTGACCCCAACGGGTGACCCCTTCCATCAGTCTCCCCAGTCCAGCGAGGGCAGATGACCAGGACACACATTTATCATGGGCCACCCATTGCTGCTGTTTGCTTTGCAGCTTTTAGTAGACTATTTGCAATTCTGAATTTCTTCCCTGGGATACTTTGTGATTACAAAAAGCAATCTTATAAATAAATAAAAAAAAACCCTCACTCTTTGCTTGTTTGCTTGATTTGAGATAGGTCTTGAAGGATGGATAACCTTGAACTCCTGATCCCCTGCCTGCCTCACCCTCTCCCAACCTCTCCAGTGCTGAGATTACAATACACAATGTCTGGTTTATGAGGTGCTAGGGATCAAACCCAGGGCCTTGTGCCTGTCAGGCAAACACTCACTGAGCTACATCCCTCAGATACAATCTTTCTGAAGAGGTCAGCAAAGCACCTTGAGTTTTATCTGCAAACAGTTATGCTATCCCTCACTCTCTGCCAACCTTTGACGCAAACAATTCTGGGAGAAATCAATCAGGGAGCATAGGCTAAAGGCAACCATGTGACCTCATGTACTGAGGTCCATGACAGAAGCGCTGATAGGCGGTGGGGCTATGGCCACCACTCTGGGAGTGGCATGGGCTACAGGTACCCCTCTTTCTTTCTTTGGGTATCAATTATCACTACTTGGATGGATTCCTGATCCCTAAGAGTCCCCACAAGGAGGCTGCCCTGTTTCATCTGGTCAGAATTTTAGAATGAGCTCCCTTTAAGATGGTTTCCTTATTTTTAATTTTTTTAAAAAACTAATCACTGACAATGAGAAGAGATTAAAATAGAATTTTAGGCTTCCAGATTTTAATAGCCCTAGAATAACACCATTGTTCATGAAGAAGCAGCTGCACATGTCCAAAAAAAAATCACACTCACACACACACACACGCACACAACCGCGCACACACAAAGACTTGGCATGGTTTCTTAAAGAAATTTGAAGCTCAGCAGAAAGTTAAATAAATTACCCTTGAAAATTCCCCAAATGCTCAGGGACTAACTTCTGAGATAATTTTGTCTAGTCAATTAATTGCGGAGCAGCCGTTCTCTAACGAATCTACACTGCCAGTATCTTAAATGGTCCAAGTATGCTCACAAGAGACTCCCGTCAGCAGCACCACACAGCTAGGTAAGCAACCAGCCCTGCACAGCCCTGCAGGGAATTCTTAGACCAGTGGGAGATCCAGCCACAGACACAGGGCAAGACTAACTGGGGCTCCCTGTGACTCTCCCAGGAGCATGCAAAGAAAGGTCCCCACACAAAGAGAGGCACTCATACAAAGAGAGGTCCTTCCCCTTTGCTTAAAGAATTGGAGCCTCTGAGCCAGGGAACGCACACTAGTACAGTCAGAGACCAGACTCAGCCCACTCAGCTGTAGCCTATGTAGATCTAAGAGCAGACAATGCAAGGGTGTCCCCCAATCCCTGATGTCACACCTAGTCCCTGACAGCAAGCCTGAGAAACCAGAAACGAACCTCCAGAGCCAGAAAAGTGTTCCACTGGATCTCAGAAGGCACTGGGGTCAAAGGTTTGTTTGCCATCCCTTCGGGGAACTCTACAGTTTCTGAACAAAAGTATAGATCAAGGGTCCTCAGTCTGAGATCGGCTGGAGATCTGATAGAATCTTCAGAAATCTGCTACACAGGCCAAGTTTTACCAGAGTCAGACAGCAGCAAGAGCAGCTACGGTTCCTGCTGCAGGACTTTCCAGCCCCTGTACCCACGCCCAGTAAAGAATGAGCATCAGTCTGTGACCACTCAACATCTCGGAGGAGACTGCCAATTTGCACCCAAGATCCAGCTGAAGACAGTAGCCAGTCAAATCAACATCCTAAGCCAGCAGTGTGTGTGTGTGTGGGGGGGGAGAATAAAGTCAGGAGTTCAGCACCACGCTGTCCCCTTCCCCAGAGACATTCCAGGAGCAGGGCTGAGGTGTGAAGCACAAGAGGAGGGCCATCTTGAATACCCAGGTATAATGCTGACACCACAGTGAGACCACACACCTTCACTTCTCCACCTGCGAATCAGATGCACAGGGACAGTCCCAGGCCTGGAACATGCAGGTGGCAGGGCCACCACTGTCTGGTAGTCAGGGACAATTGAGCCTGACTGAAATCCTTTTCCCCTAGTGGTTGGTTTTCTGGCCATAACAGAAAGAAAGCAGCTGGCAGCCATGGCAACACCAGGGACACCTGACCAGGACAGCTTCTCCAGAAGGTTCAGGGAAACTCCCTCCATCCTCACCAGGAGGAGACTTGGAGGCTCTCCTCCCAAGTCACATGACTCTCACCATGACTCTCACAGCCTAGGATTGATTCCTTTAGTTAAAGCCTTAATCACGGAGGCTCTGGCAATCTGATGAGTCCAGAAGCAGCCCGGCCTCACGCTAAGGAAACTCCAGCACCTGGCTAAAGAACAAGGGACTGCCTCGGAAGGACTGCTCTTTCCAGCAAATTGTAAGCGGCTTGTCACTACACACTGGAGAATCCATGCCCACACCCAAAAGGTGCAATTGCATATATGGGCTCAGAAGTGTGATGCTCGGTTAATTCTGAAGGTCTGAGTCTCAGAGAGGTTTTGTTTCTTTCCACAACAGTATTTCTAAAGAATGTATTTGAGCGCTTTATGCTATTTCTTCAGTCTGACTCTCCTCTGCCTTACCTTTGTAGCTATGGGATGCTCCTCTCTCAGAGCCCAGCAAGGATGCTGCCTCTTCTACTCCAGCATCACTGTGGCATTCAGGGCTCTAAGAGAAGACTGCTGGTCTTTCATTATGGTGATGACTTCCACGTTCTGCCCTATAGAAGCTACTGCCTTCTCCTTTTCTCCATGGCAACCCTTCTGAAAGGCGGAGGCTTCATAGATCGGTCATCTCATAGTCAGCTTCTTTACAGAAGGTGGCAGGACACAGGAGATGCAAACCTCACAGAGAACAGTGTTTCCTTTGGGACTATCAGAGGACATCAAGCCCAGGAAAACCCATGCCTCACAGCACAGGTCATTAAAAAAATGAAAATAAAATCCTCTACCACAATGGACCATAACAACCCAAGAAGCTGCATCCCTGCCTATCTCTAGATGTGGATCAACAAGGATGCGGCAAGCCAATGGCATGCACGGCACATTTAAAGCAGAAAAGAAGGCTCTTGCCTCAGAAGAGGAGACAATACTTTCTCTTGTTTCTACATACCACACTGTGTTTCGAGCTTAGGAGGGTGAAGCAGAGGCAGGTGGGCTTTCACAGGTCTGGCTAGGGCTCTGCGTGGCTAGTTGTAGTCAACTTGACTCAAGCTAGAGCCGTCCTGGAAGAGAGCCTGAGGTAGGAACTGCCTCCCGCAGACAGCCCTACGGGTGAGTCTGTGGGACATTTTCTTGAGTGATGACTGATGTGGAAGGGTCCAGCCCACAGTAGACAATACCATCCCTGGACAGGTGGTCCTGGGGTAGTAGAAACCGAGTAAGCCAGGAGGAAGAAATTAGTCAGTGCTCCTCCTTGTTCTTTGCTTCAGTTCCTGCCTTGGGGTTCCTGCTTGAAGTTCCTGCCCTGACTTTCTTCTCTGATGGACTATAAGCATTAAGCTGAAATAAACCCTTTCCTTGGGGTTTTGTAGTGGGAATTCATTCAGCCAATAGCCTTTGGGGATACTGGACTTAGGGGCATGGTCTTCTGTCTGAGGATGTGATGGTTTTTAAGAGAAATAAGGGCTGGCTCTCTCTCTCTCTCTCTCTCTCTCTCTCTCTCTCTCTCTCTCTCTCTCTCTCTCTTTCTCTCTCTGGAGCACAGGACCATGACAGTTCTCTACCTTTATTGTGTTCCTCTACCTTGTGTGGTCTTTGCCCACAGTGTGCTAGTTCTAGGTCAAAAGGCTTCTCTTGCCACTCAGTTGCTCTACCTTAGACACCAACCTTCCAGGCCATGTCAAGTACCCTCTCACCTGTCCTAGGTCTTCATCATAGCTCCCGAGATACCACTGTCTCTTGTATGACCTGAAGGTCATTTGTGAGTGGGTCAAAAAGGAACCAATCATGACCCCAAAGCAAGAGCTTACTTAACACATTCTACATAGAAGGACCAGTCTTGGCTTCCCCAGCCTCTCAATGGACATCGTTAACCAAATATGTTCTTGGTCTTTACTATCATCTATTCCAACATGGAAACAAAGCAAAAACATCGCAGTCAAATCCGCGGTTAGAGTTCAATTTCTACCCTTTCTAAGGCCCACACGCTCCCAGGATGACTAAGAGCATGTCTGCGGGGCAGGAATGTGCTGGAGAGACACTGGGATCGACAAAAGCAATTACTTCCAGGGACTGACTGATTATCGGGCCTGGTCTCCTGCTGGAAGCACTTAAAGGTGCCCAGTGTCACAGTGTGGAGCCCAGGCAGGTGGGCTGCAAAGCAGTCAGCACCGACTTGCTCGCCAGCCTCTTAACCACTGTCCATCACCACCAGCTGCTTTCTTCCCTGCCCTGACGGCCTAAGCAGTAGGCTTGGTGTGCAGAACACTGGAGGGGGCCATTTCACATGGCAGAGATGGAGGAGCCTGCTCCTCAAGTCCTTGTGCAGGCAAGCTACTCACTGAGGTGAGGAAGGCACATGCCCTCTCCCCTCTCCCCACACAGACATGGCCTTACTGAGTCCCTGAGGCCCACAACACCAATGGCTGCTCTCTCAGCCATCTTCATATGAACCTAAACCCCATCTGTGCCTCAGGTGGAGACCCAGAGTGTGCACAGATGCATGGTTCTGTCTCTGATGTGAACGGGCGGAGGGGGGGGAGGCTGGGATAGTGCTTTACTCACAGCCCAGGGACAGAGGCCCGGGGGATGGGGGCACATTGCAGGATCTCTCAATCACACACAGGTCTGTGTGGGCAAGAGCAGGAAGGGCAGCACCTACTGCTTCGTTTGCCTTCTTCTCCACCCTCCTCTTCATTCTCAGGATCTATGTCTTCTGCTTGGGTGATCCAATCCAAGTAGCCCTTGAGATCCTCTTCCAACTGCTGCTTCTCCCGAAGCTTCTGGAAGTCTCCGCGTGCTTTAGCCTTCTCTCTTTCCTTTGAGAATTCTCTGAGAGATGGAAGGAGAACAGAGCACCCATCAGAGCCTCGGTGGGGACCGGACCACGAGCCATCTGCCCTGCTGTGCAGTGGTCTTACAGCAGGACACAACCACAGAACACAGCAGTGGAGCTACACACGCGACAGGACAGAAGACCGTGCCTCCCTAAGCAGAACTGTGGGTGTCAGAGTCGCAAAGACCACACTGACATACATGCATGGTTTATTAGGAAGTAAACTCCCTGCAGGACGATTTCTAAAGCAGCCCAGCCCCCAAACACCCTGGGCTGTCACAGCGGGTCTTTTACTCTATCCACCTGCTTCCTAAAGAAGGGGAACTTGTGATCCAAGTTGAGGTCAAAGAGAGCACCCAGAGCAGCGGACAGGGATCCCCTGGACCCATCTTACAGCCCAGGTCTCCCTTCCTGGGCAGGATCTCCGGTACTGGAGACACAGTCCCATTTGTCTCAACCTCTGCCTCTGGCCATGATCTCTCCCAGGTTACCCCATAGGAAGTGGAGAGGTAGAACAACCTGCTGCCAGATGCACTAACTGTTGGCCGTTTTCTCCGCCTCCCGTGGCTGCAACCCCATAACCTTGTATCTCTGCACATAGACAAAATTCCACACCTGTGCAGGCAATTCTGAGCATCGGATACATGACTGGCCAGTTTTTACATCCAAGGAACCATCTGCCCACCCAACTGTTAACAGGAACCAAGATATGTGAATTATAGGTCCGGAGCATATTAACGCTGTTAGGGAGTGGGTGAGGTTACAGGAAGAGAGGCTTCTGCACACAAGCTTCTGCCAGCACTCTGACACAGCTACTGCCCTCTCCCACCCACCTGTTAAGCAACTCAGAGCCAGCATGACTCCCTTTCATGACCTCAGTAACACTGGCAGTAGGACTAGGGCCTGCGTTCATCAAACAATCTCCCTACTCTCTCCCCTCAGGCCCCTCCCTCAATTCCAGGTCTTTGGGGAGCTGAATGGGCACCTAAGAAGTTAGTAAAACTGGAATCTTTGCTCAGGAGTTTCTCTCTGCTCCCCTCCACTGCCTGATTCTCGTCACCACTCGGACCCTAGGACTCATTCTTGGCCCCGGTAGGCTGTTCCAGCTCCATTTTGTCCTATGAAGAGGCAGGTCTGTGGGAGCTCCCGGTACAGTCCACAGACGTGGCAGGAGAGGGGTGGGAGGGTGTACAGGACCTGTGCTCTGCCCTCCAGCCAAAGCACTCCTGGGGATGACAATACCTTCCAGTCTCAACACAAGGGGACTTGAAGGGCTGCATCCTGCTGCTCACACAACAGGATGAGGAGCACAGATGAGGTTTCTAGTCCACCAGAGTATCCCAGAGCATACACAATGCACAGCTCAGCTGGGGACATTCGCTAAGTTGTCCTCAACTCCAAGAGTTCTACTCCATCCAGAACTATATCCTTGAGCAAAGCCCAGAAGACCTATGTGAAATGCATCCACAGGAAGCTGGGTGAGATAATGTTCTCTTAAAATCCGTGAAGATCAAGTGGGCTTCCAATCCTATTACTTATGATATTATTATTTATACTGTAGACCTCTGTCACATTTTGATTCTGATCTTAGCACACTAAATGTAGATTGTTACATACTAAGTTCTTATTCAGGATTCATACATGATCTGAGCTCTTTAAAAATGATGATAGCAGTCAGTAAAATGTCACCCTGTACAGCTAAGAATGTCAGAAAGTGAAATTTTACTTTACCATTGTCTTTACTGGTTTACACTAGAACTATAAAATTCCTCTTATGTCTCTTGCCCATAATGGTGGGATAGAGTTTAGCAGGTATATGTAAAACCCTGCTGGAAGCAGCATTTCTCAGAATGGAAACTTTGTCAATCCCTGTACCACTGTCGACTCACAGGAAAGGAACCCTCCCGCCACTACAACCTCCTGACCCAGAAGGTCTCACTCTGGTCCATTGCACCTGGTATTAACCTCAGTGGGTGACAAGAAACATCACTCCATTTTTAATAGAATTTCATCATCTTATACTAAGAAGTTAAATGGTAAGTCATTGCTGCAAAGGTTTATTGGAATGAAGTTGCTGATAGAAATGATTAAGATTTCTGCAAGTGACCAGAAAATTGGAAAACAACGACATTCTAGGAGCCTACTTGTCTGGGTCTGGAATTTTGTGGTACATGTAACCAAGAGAAAATAAAACAGTGTCTATACAAAAATATACAATAAAACATTGACTTCTGCACATGGAGGAGAGGGAAATAGGAAAATAGACATATTTCTACATGCTGTAGCTGAAAGAGCAGAAAACAAGACTGGAAGCGTCTGAAGGGAAGGCTCCATGGGCCAAGAGATCGCATGGCGACCCGAGTTTGGATGCCAGGCACTCGAGGGGCGAAGTCAGGTGTGCTTATATGCCTGTAACCCCAGCGCTGGGGAAACAGAGACAAATGGACTCTAGGTACTCACTAACCAGCCAGCCTCGCCAAACTGGCAAGCTCCGGGTACAGCAGAAGACTGTCTCAGAAAAATAGGATGGAGATATACAGAGGGGGCAACTGACATTGACCTCTGGCCCTTGCATGCACACACATGGCTCCTGCCTATGCAAAGAAGCATACAACTCCCTTCCCGGCCCTTTCTTGAACACACATCTAAAACAAGAAGAAAACAATGGACAGGAATGAGTGGGGTGAAAGTAACAAAGGGTGGAGTGTTTTTCCGAAGTATATCATTTTGTCCAGTTTTGACTTTTGGAACTAGATGGCTTTTACATTATAGATTTTTAAAAAACAAATCAAGTATAGAATAAAGCAAGAATGCCTCCACATTGAAAGACAAAACAAGTTCATTTGATTGTACTGTAAATAAATATCATAACCACCCTGAAAGAGGACAGAGCAATAAACACAACTCATAAACACACAACAGTCAGTTCTGGGCAGGACTGGAACAAGGGGAAGGAAAGTGGAAAATGCCTGGGGTTTGCCTAGGTTTGTTTGTTGGGTTTGGTTGTGTGTGTATGCTGTATGTACAGTTGTGTGTGTGTGTGTGTGTGTGTGTGTGTGGTGTATATACAGCTGTGCGCATGTGTGTGTTTGTATGGGTGTGTCTGTGTGCTTGTGTTCACGTGTGAATGAGATGATTCTGGAATGGCTTTGGAAGCAGGGCAGGATCTGGCATGAACAGTGCTGATGTTCAGGGCTCTCAGTGGGAAACAGTGAAGCTGGGGCTGGAGAAGACTGGAAAGAAGCCTCTGAGAGACCAGATGTTCTGGTCTGGGGACTCTGCAGAGTTTCAGAGGGCTGAGGGGCTGGCACAAGTGATCTTGTGAGTGCTGAAATTACAGGAGTGTACCCTGTAACTGGAACTGGTACACCCGTGAACTCAGGATTTCTAAACAGTTTGCCAATACTGATACCTAAGAACACGTTTCAGTGTGCAAGTACATATGTGAATAGAAATGTGTGTGTCCTTGTTCCATCTGTTGCAAGGGTCTAGAGACAGTCTTCTTAGTCAGTATAAGAACACTGGGTGACCAGATCTACTTTCTCAGAATATTCTTCACTCAAAGGCACAACAAAGCCAAATGTGGCAACACAAACTTGTAGTCCCATCCCCGGGCTGGGGAAGCACTGAGACAGAGGACTGTACATGTTAAAAGTCAGCCTGGGCTATAGTAGGAGGGCCTGACCAAAAAAATCAAACCAACAAAGACTCTGGAATTGTTCTAATCAATTGCAAATTTATGCCACTGCCAGTCCATTCCAGAGCATTAATTAGACCTGAATGTTCCTCATGGGAGTTGACCCTGTTGTCCATTTTTTCGGGTATTTCTTCTCAAGTCTCTCTCCCAAGATGTCCACTTCAAACAGGAATGCCAGAAGACCGAGTATAAACCCACACACTCCTTCTCAAGAGGCCAGAACGCATCCCTATGGGACAGAAAGCCTGTGACTGCTGAGATCATGTGTCCAAATCCAGACATGCCATCTGGAGCAGCTTCCACCGGCAGCTGTATGAACTCCTGTATGAACACAAGCCTCATATGGGGGGGTTACAAGGCTGGCTGGTTAAAAAGCCATCCATTTTACTTCCTCTTTAAGGAGCCATCACTCGACAATCCCTCCCCCTCACAGCCCAAGGACTACTGTTAGTCTTGTAGAGTCCAGTCTGTATGCAACTCACTAGCCATGGCGGCTGCTACAGGAGTTGGTGAATGGGTGCCTCTCTTTCCTCCCCAGGAGACCACCACAAACCTGGCTTCATTTTGGTGGTCTCTGGTTCAGAATGCCAACTGGTTCTTTATCACTTCCCCAAGTCAAGGCCCTCTCCCAGCTGCTACTTCATCTTTGTGTGTCTTGCCTGTAAATGTGCACCTTGTACCCTGATCAATTGACTCAATCCCTCAACCCGCTGAGCCACTGCAAAATTCTGGGGACCAGAGCAGACTTCTTTTTTCATCCTTGAGTTCCAGTGCAACCTTCACATTTGGGGGGAACGATCCCTAGTTACTACCTCCAAATAAGATCTGTAAGCCTCTGAGACATTAGGACACTTTGTCATTGAGAATCAAGACCCAGATATGTTCCTGTCCCCTCCCCTAGATAGATTCTTTCAACAAGGCCTTTGCCATCCTCACTGACACATGTTTACTGTGAGGAAGGGGTGGCTATAACCTCACTATTTGGGTCCTGAGGCTCTGAGAGGCCAGACACACAGCCTATCCAGCTGCTGAATGCTGCTCCTCAGAACCACATCACGGACACACAGGGAACAAGGCAGGGAGCAGGCACATGGAGCGGGGAGAATCAAGACAGGTCGGAGGGATGGGAATAGAGCTCAACGGAGAGTACCTGCCTAGGATACCCAGGTCCTAGGCTTAATCCCCAGCACAGAGAGGGAAAGTTTGAGGCAGTCTAGAAAGACATTCAAATTCTAAACAAGGGGCTTAGACTGCTTCCTTTTCATAGGGCAGAATATTGAGACAGTGTCTTGCTAAGAA